GAAAAAATTATGTTTGCATTAAATAATTGCGATATAATCTTTATAACATTATTCAGAGGCATAAAGGCTTTTGTACTCGTTATGAGGTTCAAAATTTTGCGGTAATTACTGTTCAAGGCTAGCAGTGTATGATTGGTAAACTTTGAATTCGAAAAGATTTTCTTTATCTTTAAATTGAATTTTAGGTCAGATTTGATTGATTTTTAAGGTTAGTAAGAAGATATAATAAGTCATTAGGATCAATTGAAACTACAATCTTTGCAATATTGTTAAATCCTTATGTGATTTAAGATATAAAGCTATTTCATTAAAAACATCAATATACAGTTGATTCCGAAGAGCAAAACCACGTAATTTTAAAGAAAAAAAAGTTTCCATACAAATATTTACAAATCCATCTCGTAAATTCACCATCACCATCAAAAACCCATCTCTGTCCAGATTGAGGCTGTTAAACAAACTTTTTTTTATGCGAATCATATTTCAGATAATCAATGTTCCTAAATAATCTGCTTTACTGCTGCTTATTTTCCCATTTTGTAATATAATTTGATTACACTTCTTTCCATCATCATCAGCATCCATACTCTAGCCGCTGTGCCTCGTCCGAAAGATTAAAGAATTAATGAGAAAAAATTTGAATAAAAATGATTAAAAAATTCTCTCGCATCGCAGAGCAATCGTTCCCCATCTCGATAGGCAAGCAAGCAAGCAAAAAAAAGGCAATTTTCTTCTATCTCTCTCGCATCGTCCTCAACGGCAATGGCAATGGCAAGGGAAGATTATTGTTCAATGTAAAATACATCAAAAAATTATGTTCCGCTTTATTCACAAGTAAAAAGCCAGCAACAAAAAGTGTTTTACACACAAAAAAATGGTTTCAAAGCTATTTTTTGTTGTTGTATTGTGCTAAAATCATCTCCACCACATCAATTGCATGTAGTTCCTTTTTCTTTTCATCAATCTGAAGGGAGCAACCACGAACAACCACTGCGCAACCGAGAAAAGAAAATTGCGCGCAACCTTTTCATTTTTTTTTCAACATCCTCGCCTCAATGCTGTTGTTGTGCCTTTTATTTTCAATGTGATATCGTTGAAAGCTTCCATAGAATGAAGAAAGGAAAGGAAGTAGCAGCATCAGCGGTAGTAGCAAGCAACGACGACATGAGTGTAAAAAAATTGTATACAACAATACACGGAGGTCGAGAGAGAGTGAGAGAGAGTAGAGTCGTAGTATATATTGCTGTGTAATAATTACACATTTACTGTGTACATATCACAAAATCTTTTATCATCCATGGCAAAGTGGATCGTTGATGTAACAGTCGTGTTCTGTTATTCTCAACAATTGCGTTTGTTAACTTTCTTGACAATTTTTTTTTATTTTTTTTTTTCGTTCTTCTTGTGTGTAATGTTACTTCTCATCACGAGGGGAAAATTTGTACTTTTTTTTTGTTTGTTAGGCATGTTTTGATGCTTTAGGGAAAATTTTTATTTTTTTTCCGCACACACACGAATCTCTCTTTCCTTTTTTGGTTACAGAGCACTTTTTTGCTATGTAGATGTACAGCTTTACTCGTATAAATATTTTGTATGTTATTTTATTTTATTTTATGTATATAAATCTTTTTCGACAAGGATTTTTCACTATGAATTACTATCAATATTGGATACCTCTATCTAGGGAGGGTAGATTTTTGTGGTTCATATTACAACTGACCTTGAATTGTGATTGGATATAATTTTGTACTGATTTCTGATTTTATAAATTGAGTTATACGAAATGTAATCTTGTTAAAATCAGAGTTCCTACAAGAACTTAACAATTTAAATTGATTAGCTTAGCTATCTGAATTTTTTGTAGATTCAACATTGGATTTTTAAGGGATTTTACTTTCTTGGAACTTTCATATGAATTTTCTTTTCCTTAAAATTAATTGGGTCAAGAAAATCAAGAATACTTACTAAAGCAAATTTTTCTAGCTTAATTTTAGGATAATCGATCGAATCAGTCAACTTTATCATGGCAGCATGTCTACTCTTTGATTTGAGATGTTAAAAATTTGGAACCTTCACTAAGCTTTACTTCGAGCGTCAATTAATGCTACTGAAGGTCCTCGAATCGAACAAGATCCTCAGTGTAAAATTTGGAACTGTCACTAAGCTCCCCTCCATTCCAAGTGTCAATTATTGCTACTGACGGTCCTCAAATCGAATAAGATCCTCAGTGTCCTAGAAAAAAAAACATTTTAGAGCCCCCTCTTGCTGTTATTTGTTTAAGGCACCACGAAGCATTTTAGTGTGCACCCAGGATCAGCTGCTGCAGTTTTAAGACATAAATTGATGTGAATTTGAAATCAAATTTTTAAATACCAGTTTTTGGATCAAACATTTAAAAACGCATTAAGTATGCAGGATAAATTTTAAACTAGCTTTGACACAGTCTATTTAATTTTAAAACTACACAAAATTGCCTAAAATTTCCAAATACATCAAAAATTGCCCAAGTCTTAAACTTATTAAAATAATTCAAAAAAAAGTTCAACGTATAAATTTCCCAAAAATAAGAAACCCAAGCTGCACCACCTTGTTAAAATGTTTTGTATAAGTTAGAAAAATTGTGAATAAGATCTATGACATATTTTAAGATTAAGTGGAAAAACGATTTACTTTCTTGCAAAATCAGCAATCTTTATTTTGCCAATTCTTGTGTAATATTATTGTAATAATAAGCACAACAGAGCAAGCAAGCAAGAAGAAGAAGGAATGGAAATGAAGAGGAAAAGTAAATAAAACGGATAAAAAGAAATAAATTCAATACCCGAGGGAAAGAAAATTAATAATCAATTAAAGTACGATATAGTATATGGCAAGAAGAGAATGAAGATGATGCAAATAAGGAGTGTGAGTGAGTCGAGCAATTGAAATTTCAATATCGTTTGCTAAAGTGTTTGTAATACATTTAAAATTCTAAATAACATTTAATAATAACCAAATGTAACGAGAAGAACGAGAGACGAGTAGCAGCAGTAGAGGCTGGCTGTAATGAAAAATCATTGTAAATAACAAAATTGAATTTTAAACCTCATACCATACTCATATTATACATTATTTTCATACTTATACTACACCATCCCCCCCATTTTGTTTCACTCTCTCATCTCGTGAGTTTCGCAATATTTACAGAAAAGTGGAAAAAAAAGAATAAAATAAAAGTAAGTAGTAGCAGCAGTAGCAAAAAAGCATTAAAAGCATTACACTCTTAAAAAACCCAGAATGTTTACAATAAACGAGAATTTTTAATGAATCTTTTTCATCTTCCTCAACTCCATCCTCTGACAGAGAAGCACACTTCCCATCCCCAACGACGACAAAGACGACAAACTCCTCCGTCAACAATTAAATTTCAAATCAACTCAATTTATTTTATATTTTTCATTTTGTGCCTTTTAATATTATTATTATATTCTACGAACATTTCTTTTTCTTTTGCTGTTGCTGCTGCTGCTGCTCTCGCGTAAATTGTTTGTTGTTATTACTACTCACAATTGATGTTGTTGTTGTTGGCAATGCCGCTATTAATGTATACACGCATATATACATGTATTTTATTTTATTTTTTTTCTTCATCATTATAATCATCCTCTCTCTCTACTTATACGATTGTAGATTGTACAAAATAAAATAATACACAGCGAATTGGCCCCGTAGCGCGAAAGAAAGAAAAATAAAAATTGTAATAAGTGATGGGATGTGTCTCGATGCATGTATACACAAAGCCCGTTGCGCATACAAACAAAAATAAAACCCCGAATAATAAATATCGAAAAAAGGCAGCAGCAGCAGCACCAGCAGAAAAGAAATTACGCGAGAGCTGTATATGTATTTGTTTTGTGTTTATTCTTCATTCTTTTTCTGCTTGAGCATGTTGTTGTATTGTGAGACAACGACAACGACGTCGAGTTTTTATGCTTTTTTTTTGAGAGACTGCGGAGAGAATTTTTTTTTCTTCTCTTTTAGCTTGAAAGTGTGCGGGGGAAAAAAAAGGCAGAAACACAGAAAAATATTGTTCAGGTATCAGTTGTACAAGACATAAAGTTAGTTAAACGCTAAACATATAGCAGCTAACAGCATTTTTATATATACTGCCCTGACATTTTTTTGTGTGTTTCGCTGTTCGGAGCGAGAATAAAAACAGAAAGAACATTTTGCTACTTCGCTTACGATAAATTTTATATGTGACGATTATTTTTTTTTTCATTCTCTGAAAAATATAAAAAAATAAAGGCACTGTATATACATATATCTGTACGTATGTATATCTAGAGAGACTCGCGGGGAGAAGGCAAGCAAAAAAAAAAAACAACATTGAGAAACATTTAAGTTCATGTTCATGTTACGAGTATGTTCTATAAAATTTTTTTGTGTATTTGATAATACTCGAGTATTATTGTTGTTTTTATTTTATTCCGTGTACTGTATTGCAAGGAGTCTGTAACTAGCTATACTATACTTTTTTTTCTGTCGTGTTTCTGTGGTTTAATATTAATTTTGTACTTGAAGCGCATAGCCCGAGATACGCGCCGCGGTAGCGACAAGCGATTCAGTTGCTAATTGATTTTTAAAGTGATTTGAAGAGAGCAAGACAACAAGAAATAATAAAAAAAATTTAATATAATATAATCAAGCGACACTCTTATTTTTTTCTGTGTCTTCGAAGATAGTAGTTCAGTTTTGATTTTACTTACACTTTGCTTTAAATAAAAGTTCAATAAAACTCTTATCAATCTCATCCGTGACAGTTCTGAAAAAAAAAATAATAAAAATTTAAAGCGAAGAATTTTTTTGTTTAAAACAAAAAATTTTAAAGTGAAAAAAAATAATTTTTGGATTTTTGCCGTGACTCAAAAGTGTGAAAACAAGAATTTTTTATGTGAAACTTTGTGGATTAATCGACTGAACAAGATAATTAAATAAAAACAAAATTGGATTTGATTCAAAAAACACAAAAAGTTAATTAAACAATTATAAAATTTAAAAAAAAATATATTGGATATAACAATAATTATTTATAATTAAATTAGTGTGAAAAATTAAAAAAAATTGTAGAAAAAAAATATGAAATCGATTTAATTTGTTATAATATGTGGGCTTATAAATTGAATTACAAGAAATTTTGATTGAATGATTGAAACCGTGATACGCGAGAGGCGATCGAACGGAGGTGAAAAAACAATGTCACACATTTCACAATTCCGTGGGTCGCCAAATACACAGGTAAGCAACTAATATTGCAAATTAATTAAAGGTGAAATCTAATTGATATGATAAGAGTTAATTAAATAATACAAAATTAATTCTTTATAGTGCGATAAAGATCGGTTATGTAAATTAATGACGATAGAATATGGAAATTATTCAAAAAGATTTCGGCAAAAATAGTTTTTTTTTTGTGGGAAGATGAAACTCTGCGGGATAGGCGGATAATTTGAATTGAATTGTTTAAAATTCATTTGTTAATGAAGTTTGGATTTGGCGCTTCTGGAGTTTTTGGAAGAAATTGTTTTTGTGAAGATTTTGAATGATTTGATGCTAAGTTATGGTTTTGTAAATTTAAAGTGAAGATTTAAAGAGATTTTGAGTTCTTTAGATTTTAATTGTGATTGAAGAAAATTGAATTTTTAAAAAAGGAATTAAGTTGAAATTTGAAATTATTAATAAGTTGAAGGTTTAAATTTCTTGGAAAATTTGAAAGTTTGAGAATTTTAAAATTAAAAAGTTGCAAAGTTTAAAAGTCTGACAATTTGAAAAATTTGAAAATTTGAAAGTTTAAGAATAAGAAAATTTGATAGGTTGAAATTATTAAAATTGTTAAAATTAAAAGTTCAAAATTTAAAGAAATTTTGAAAATTTGTGAAAATGTTACAACTTATTTTCAAATCAAGCTATTCGGAATATGCCGACTATTTGAATTTTTCAGTTCTTTTGAATGACAAATTTCATCACTTATTCATAAATGATCACAAATCTTAATATAACTTTAAGTTCCCTTATGAATTTATTAAGTTTAAAATCTTTTTTCTCATTTTTAATAAGTTTTCATCACAATTTGAAAATTTGATTTAAAATCAAATTTGAAATTCATTCAAATCTTTGAAATTATTGGATTCTGATTTCTTAAATCTTAATATTTACTTTAAATCTTTATAATAACTTATGTGATTACAAATAACTTTTAATAAAGTCTTGAAAACAAATTCATAAGTTCATTGAGTTCGTTCAACATTGACTTCAAAGAATTCTATTCATCAAAGCTTAATCAAATTCTTTTAAAACTTCTTTAAATCTAAAGTAAATTCCAACCCAGAAAAGTCACTCACTAATCCAAATCCCAAATCTTCTATGAATTATTTCTCAACATTCTTGTGAACTTAAATTGTTAACCACACAAAAAACATTTTTTAACTGCCTGTTGCCTAACTCAAAAACAAGACTACGGCTTGAATCTATCTAATCGATATATCAATCTATCATCTATGTGATATATTAGGATGACAAAAAAAACTGCATAACAAGTCAATTTCCCACTATTTTATGGAAGAAGAATGAAGCACAAATGAATGTAAACTGAGTGTGTGATCCTTTTATTGTTATCGAGAATGTGATTTTTATGACTTTTTATCCTGGAGACAAAAAAAAACAACACAGAAAAAAAAGGTCAATCAAAAATAAGAAAGAATTAAGTGTAAAAAACGTGCAAGTTGTGGCAGTTGGAAGTTAAACACAAAGTTTTTTATATTATTTAGAAAAAGTGAAGCAAGATTGATGGGATTTTCATTTAACGACTCAAAGCATTTCTCGCATTTCTTTTGTGTCTGCAAATTTCTTTCAAAAAGGAAACAAAAATTTCAATTTTGCTATTTTTTCTTCCTTTCTATTTTTTTTTTTCAAGTAGTGGATTTCAATTCTTTTGTGAATGTTCGCTCATTTGGATACGACTCTTTAACACACTTTGATGCCTTTCAGATTCTGAATTATTTTTTTTTTTGTTATTTTTCAATTAAGCAAATAAAAGATTAACAACAAGCTACAGATGAGAATATTTAAATGCTAATTTGTCAAGAAAATGTTGAAGAATGGAGCAATTTCAAAAAAAAATGGACAATAGGCAAGAAGAAAAGTGTATCGTAAAAAATTAGAATTCAATTGGATATACTAAAAAGTGAGAAACGAGAAAATGATGAATTATTAAAGATTTGAAAAATTTAAATTTAACATTCAACACTTCCACGAAACACGTTTCATCATCATCAACATCATAAGACGTAAAAGATAATTACATTAATTACATACGTTTTAAGTTGTTGTAGTTGTTCTTGCCTGTTATATTTATTCACAAGCATATAAAAAAGAAATGAAGAACTGAGTGAGTTTATAGAGTGAAAATTTGTGGCAATAATTTTTAATAAAAACATTTATAAACTCTCGGTGTGGAGTAGAGGTTCTCGGGTACAGGCGGATAATTTTTTTTTGCCGAGCATCCAGGTGTATAAATTCAATGTTTGGTCCTATTTTGTTAACAATTTGATGGTAAATTTATCACAATGCTTGAAGATCGATGAGGATCTAATGGTCATTTATTGATTGTATTTTGACTTATTTCTTGTGAAACATAACCTTTTTAGGTTTTTCAAACCAATCTTACTATTCTGATCTTAATTTTTAATTGGCATAGCTAATAGAAAGCTAGTTTTAAGTAAACCTTTAGTAAAGCTGAATTAATTTGATCAAAATACGACTTAAACTGGATTTTAAACTGTCTCGATTCCAAGGAGCATCGAAAAGAACCTAAATTTGATCTTAAATGATTCGGGATGTGCTTTATAAATTGTAATTATCAGAGTTTTAGGTTATATCGAACTGACTAGGGTCGACTTTAACTATGTCGGCTTAAGATGCATAATTTAAAGTTTACCAAGCATTTTCAACCAGCGGAAATATTAAAAGATTAATTTCTCCTTCAATCTGGTATTTTATCAAGCAGGTGCTGCTCAAATGCATCCTTTTGAATTAATAAAGTCAATTAAATTGAGCATTCGAAAAAATCTTACTTTAAACAAAAACTAAGGTTTAAAAATTAAATTTTAAAACTATCAAAAAAGTCAAAAATTTTTAAATTTCAAAAAGTTGAAAATTTTTGAAAAAAGTTTAAATTTAAAAAAAAACTGTTAAAATATTCTGAAAAACTACCAATTTTAAGTTTGCTTCAAAAATCTTTTTGCGCATGCGACCAACTTCTCCCCAAAAAAAAAAAAAATCAAATCATCATTTAGGAAATTTATGGCTATATAACATATCCAAACCAAGGAGTAGACACTCAAAAATATTCAATTTTTGGCTATATTTGAATCACAAATTCTGCAACATCAAGATTTGAAAAATCATAAAATTCAAAATAATTTCGATTAATTCACTACTTAGCCATAGATCAAAAAAAAATCAAATAATACCTCCAATAAAATCACACAGAAGCCTAATAGCAAGCTAATCATTTCAATATGTTGTAGCTTCAATCCAGCAATCTTAAAACCCTTAAGAAGCTTAACTTCCAACCTCTTAAATCACACCGTAATAAGAAATTCAATCAAAAACACAAGGTGCGTTTGCTAGAACCCCCAAAAAGCATATCCCAACTCCATTTCAAATGTGAATAAAATTAAAAAGAATTATATTCTTTGAACTTATGTTGTTGTACACAAAAAAAAAGTACTTTATTCATTTTTAAAATGTCGAGCAAGTCTTATTAAATAAAATTATTATTATTACTTATTAAAGACAAGTTTTCCTTTCATGCTCTGCTAATAAATGTTGAGAGGAGGCTAATATATAATAATTATAATTCTTAACTAACAACATATACACCAAATATAAAGAATGAGAATAAAAACTTGTTCTTTTTGTCGCCTTTTTGCCATGCATTCATTAGCAACTGAGAAATTATTATTGGCCCAATTTATTGTCTCTTCGTTTCATGGTTTTGTGTACGGCTTGTTTCACACAATTTATTCATGAAGACAAGACATACAAAAAGGCAACAATGGCAAAAGGCTTGTTCATAAAAGTTGACTCTCTCATTCTCTGCCTGTGTGAATCTTGACTTGCCTTTTACTGCTGCTGCTACTCTACTCCTTTCTCGAGAATATTTCGAGCATATAAAATTAATATTCATATGGATGAAATAAAGCGAGTAGTAGTTTGTAGTTTAGGAATGAATACATGCAGAGAAGAGGGCATACAAGAATGATGAAGATAACTTCTTTTGCCATAATAAGTGCTCCTCACAAAATAAAAACTTATTTATCATGCCATAATGCCGGGTGTTGATGAAGCTACTCTCTCTTTCTGTGTCCTATCCGTACGCATGTAGTTGTGTGTTGTCACATTCAATTTAACATCTTCATAACAAATCATGTCAAGATCATCATCATCAACTTATTCAGTCTTTTGCCTTAAGCCCTTTTATACTTTTTACTATGTCTCTCTCTCATCATCTAGTTTGTGCTACTAAGTTAATTTTGTTTAAGGAAACCACATGGAACAATTAAAAGTTTTTCATTGAATATAACTTAAAATCTGGTAATGTTCTTTGAAGAAGCATAATAAACTTTGCTGTTTTTTTTTCATTGTCACCCTGTGTGTGTTTTTGTGGGTGAACAGAACAAGGGTTTACAATTGTTATTTCGGTACATGCTACATACCCAACATCTCAACCCAATAAAATGAAACTTCTTTTTCGGTGTCGACATTGAGAAGATTTTTTTGGGAGATAGAAAGGATTTAATTTTAGAGAACTAGAGTTTTTGTGGCGATAAAGTTAGACATGAGTGCAAAAATAATTTTTGACAGACGGGACTATTTGTAATTATTAATTGAGATGAAAAATTGTTTTTTGAAGATTTTTGTGTGTCTGGAAAATTGAATAGATTGTTTTTTGGTCAAACTACATAAAATTTGAGGTTAGGTATTTGAAAAGTTTGTAAAATCTTGATATTTTGTTCCTAGTAGTTGGTTATTCTATATTTTTTAAGGTTAGGAGTTTAAGTCGCAAAACTTCAGTAGTTTTAGTCAACTCAGTTGCAAATCAGCTGTTTGCAGCTGTTAAATTCTACCGTAATACTCAAAATGGTTGACAATTGCTCGTTTAACCTTAAAATTTGATCAATCTCTTAAGAACTTAAGAGTTTAGAGTTAAATTGATCCTAAGAGGCTAATTTAAT